ATATTTGTATCTATAAAAAGAACGTATAAACATAAAAAATGTCTTGAAAAAATAATTGTCTGACTTTGTCCATTTCTTATATATATATATATATATATATATATATATATATATATATATATATATATATATATATAGGGGGTGGGAGTTAAGAGTCTCAAAGGACCTTTTTAAACAATCAACTTAAAATGAAATTAAAATTTAAAAGGGTGGTTTTAATTTTTTTTTAATGCTTTTGATACAATAGCTGCATAATCGCTGGCAAAATACGCTTTGAAGTCAATGATTTCCTGTATTGCTTTCAGGAAACGCATCGCATTGATCGAAACAACAAAGATGAAGATAGTCGTCTGAATGATGATAATATTTTATAACCTCACAATTTTTCAAAGGAGCAAAACTAGAAGAAGAAGAAGAAGAAGAAGAAGAAGAAGAAGAAGAAGAAGAAGAAGAAGAAGAAGTGTAAATACGAAGAAAATGTGAAGAAAAAGGAGGAAAGGTAAAAAAGAAAGAAAAGAAAAGATCACAGATGTAGGAGAGAAAAATAGAAAAGAAAGGAAAGGAAAGAAGACGATAAAAGAAGGAAGGAAAAGAGAAAATTGAAGGCGATAAAAGAAAGAAAAGTAGAAAAAGAAAGGCAAAAGAAAGAAAAAGAAAAATAATATGAGAGAGAAAATGGGAAAAATAAAGACGACAAAATAAAAAATAGAAAAAGAAAGATCACAAAAGAAAGAGAAATATAGAAAACGACAATAGGAAGAAAAGCAGAAAATGAATGAAAGAGATGATAAAGATTGAAAGAAATGAAAAAGAATGAAAGATGAAAAAGAATGAAAGATGAAAAAGCATGAAAGAAATGAAAAAGAATGAAAGAGATGATAGAGAAAGAAAGAAATGAAAAAGAATGAAAGAAATGAAAAAGAATGAAAGATGAAAAAGAATGAAAGATGAAAAAGCATGAAAGAAATGAAAAAGAATGAAAGAGATGATAGAGAAAGAAAGAAATGAAAAAGAATGAAAGAAATGAAAAAGAATAAAAGAGGAAAAAGCATGAAAGAGATGAAAAAGAATGAAAGAAATGAAAAAGAATGAAAGATGAAAAAGAATGAAAGATGAAAAAGCATGAAAGAAATGAAAAAGAATGAAAGAGATGATAGAGAAAGAAAGAAATGAAAAAGAATGAAAGAAATGAAAAAGAATTAAAGACATGAAAAAGAGTGGAAGAGTTGAAAGAGAATGAAATAAATGAAAAAGAAAGAAAGACATGAAAATGAATGAAAGAAACGAAAAAGAATGAAAGAAAAGCATCGGAAACCAAAGGAAAGAAAAAAATGGAAAGTAAAGGAAAGAAAAGAAGAAAACACAACAAAACGACTAAAGAAGGAAAATAACAAATACGACAAATGAAACGAAGAAAAAAGAAGAATAAAAGTAGGAAAGACATGAAAAGAGAAAATAGCAAAAAGAAGGAAAAGCAATAGGAATAAAAAAGAAGAGATAAAAAAAAACTAAAATGATGATTGATTAACAGAGATAGACTTATAAAATATGAAAATACAAAACAAACAAAAACAGTTACGCCCAAGTAAATACTTAGGGAGCCAAGCTGATGCACTCAATAGACTTACACGCATGCGCGCTGGTGAAAGGCGCGGTTATGGGTTCAGATCCCCAAACACAATGATGTGTACCCATGTGATGAACTGCCAAAAACGGTCTTTGTTTCTGGTAGTTATTTCTTTCTCTAATGCACACGTGTTTATGTCGTGTTGGAATTGTTTTTAGAAACAGACCTTTTATATCATCCTGACATCTCGCTATCTATCGATGCTCGTATGACAACGTGTCAGTCACCTATTCTCGTATATGGATAGGCCGAAATACACATTTTTAACTTTGTTAATACAATTCCGTCTTTCTCGTTGTCAGTTATTATTCTTCCTTTGCCACTTTATATATATATATATATATATATATATATATATATATATATATATATATATATATATATATATAATTCTCAAAATGTGTGTGTGTGTGTGTGTGTGTGTGCGTGTGTGTGTGTATGATCGGATGTTGTTTATGCGTTTCCACAGTTTTCATCTGATGTCGATGAAAATTTTGTTTGATAGATAATTCTTCAGTGCTGGTTTTGAGTCCAAATTGTTGGCGACAATGGCTCTCCACTACTTCCTGTCCATTATAACTCTGAGCAGCGTTTTCATCTTTACTATCTGTTCTTGGATATATATCTTTCATAATAAGTTTAATAAAAAATAATTACTCTAAATTATTACAATAATAACATCTATATCTATAATTCCCAAAATGTGTGTGTCTGTGTGTGATCCGATGCTGTTTATGCGTTTCCACATTTTTCATCCGATTTCGATTATATATATATATATATATATTGATAGATAATTCTTCAGTGCCGGTTTTGAGTCCAAATTATACATTCCCCTTCTCTTGGTTAAGCAGTCAATCTCTTTCAAGTGAGGTTACCTTTCCAGTTGCATAAAGCCTACTACTACAGTTTTAAGGCGTTGCTTTCATTGTCATTTATAGCTGTTCCCAATTTAACTTTTTTTTATTGTCCTGCCAGTTTTTGCATTGCGTTCACCATAAGTAAGCTTGCTTTTTTATTACTCAACATTTATTTTTCCAACCTTTCCTAAAGTTATTCGAGCTTAGTGATCCATGTAGCTTTACAGCATTCTCTTGCATTTGCCCACGGATTCCATTTGACAAATTCATATTTGTCTAAGACATGCTACCAAAGAAAAGAACTAGCCTAGGTTGTAAAACCGCTGCCGCCAGGTCCGCCATGTGAGTAAGAGATAACGAATCGTCTTTAGAACGTTCAGTTTGCCTGTCTCAAAATGCTTCTTGGAATGCTTCAATCAGATCCACTGAGTCCGAAGATCAACGTAGCCATCGGCTTTCCAGAAAAGCATACCTGAACGCTTCTGCGCGCGAGGCTGATAATGATGATCAAAAGAATCAACGGCTGAGGAGAAACACCTCTTCAACTGCTGCTGCGCGTGAGGCTGAAACTGCTGATCAAAGGACTCAGCAGCGTAGGAGAAACGGCTCTTCAGCTGCTGCTGTGCGTGAGGCAAAAACGGCCCTTTTCAGAGCCACCCCCAGTTCAAAGTCTTAACCCCACTCCATTTGGGGATGAGTCTCAGCTGCACCCATTTGTTGTTACTAATATTGATTTTCGGGTGGGCTGACTTTAAATTTAAACTACTCCAGTTGAGCGGAAAAAATTCCCAGTAATGAAAACCTGGTCGAAGACGGGTTATACTCCTATATATATATATATATATATATATATATATATATATATATATATATATATATATATATATAACTATGAACCCAAAGAGCCAGGCAAACCAACCTAGGTTTCACCTACGCGGATATATATAGACTGCAACATAAAAACATGACAAAAAAAATATTAATAATCAATAACTGACGTTGTTTATTGTTTATTATTTTTTTGTTTTTTTGGTCACATGGTCATGTTTTTATGTTGTAGGCTATTTATATTTTGTTCTAATGTTCCACTTTCGCCAGCGTACCCTGACGATCCGTGTAGGTGAAACCCAGGTAGTTTTGCCTGGCTCTTTAGGTTCATAGTTAGATTTGCTCTACTTAGTGTATTGAGCACTTTGTTTAGTTATTTTTGCTTTACTTGTGTTGGAGGTTTTTTCATTGGACTCTGAGCTTGAGTTCGTTGTCTTTAAAACTTTGTAAATTTAAAAAAAATAAGTTACACCAAAATTCGCTTGAGAATAAAATGGAACTAATATTTTTAATTTAATTACAAAATTAAATTTGAAGCTTTTAGCTTCCATTTTTGAAACATGGTTATTACTGTGTAGCGAAAAAAATATTTTAAATCAGTTAATTTATAATAGTAATTCTCTGTAAATTTACATTGAGCACTATTTTGTAAAAATAAAAATATCAATAAGAACACCGGATTATATATCTTACTGTTCTTTCTTTTTATTTATACACACACACACACACACACATATATATATATATATATATACATATATATATATATATATGATATTGCCTATTGAGTGCTAGTGCTAATAAAACAGTACTCGATGTAGACAACTTGCCAGAAGGCCTAACAACTTAAGACAAGAAAAAATGTCGAAGAAGGATAGACCAAAAGAGAAACATCTACCGACTCAGTAAAGTGAACAGCCTGCAGACTACCTAGGCAGACCCAAGGAAAAGCCTCACAACATCAACCCTAAACAAAGGACAGCTTGAATCGTTTCTTGAGTTTCACGCCCTCACTAACTTCTTCCCGTTTTAGTCGTAACGAGTCGGACTCTCCTTTGTATGTGTACGCCGGGTGTAACTGCAAAATTATTCAAATCGTGTTACAGCATAATTGTCAATACCACAAAATGTTTAACATCTAAAAAATAAAACACTAAACTAATTGAGTTTTTTTCCAGATTTTTAGATAAGACGTTTAGCCATCTTGACATCATTTGTCGTAAGAATCACTGAAAAACTCTTTGAGTCATTCAACTAGAAAGAGAACAGGTTAAAATCGTTTTGTGTCCGATCTACTGTCTTCTCAACTGACCAATAATGAGAAGAAAAAAGTTCATTCAGACCTACAGTAATGGTACGAACATTCATATTACGGCTTCCATCGTCAAAGTCAATTAAAGAATCATCAAGAGAGCGGTGAATAATTTTTAAAAGAGGCAACAGTAGAGAAGAAAACTGAATCAGGATGTCACAACAGAAAGAGGGGTCATCGTTTCAACTTAGAGCTAAAGAGATCAATTAGAAAAGACCCAAGTCAATCCATAAGTCATTTGAGGGTTTGCAGCTATGACAGTCCAAAAAGCAGTGAAAAAAGACTTGAAAATGAAATCGTACGTGAAACGTGTCAGGTACCTTGTTAATTCAAGATAAAAATTTATTAGGTTAGAGAGGGCGAAGATCATCTTGAATAAGTTAGAAAATGATCTTGGAATAATATTTGAGCTTTATTTCAATATTTCATGAGCTTCCGATCCTTAACTATGATCAATTAATAATGAACATGTCTTTTTCCTTAATGCGTATACGAAGAAAAATTATGCCGAATTAAGGTGTTGAATAAAGATAAAATAATTTTATTACTTTAAATTCTTATAGCTTTTACGTATATAGGGCGTTGAAGGTAAAAGGCTAAAGGTCTAAAAGCTCTATGTAGGAGCTAGCATAAAAGTCCTCCCCGAAAGGCGACTTCTATGTTATTTAATAATATATTGAGACGGGTGATGTACTGGTCGTGTGCTTTTAAAAAATGTGAATGCAAGCAAGGTTATTTAATGCCGAATTTATATGCAACACCCAGTGAGGATCGATCTCGCTGCTGATGGTCAAGGAAAAAGTTTTGCTAACCGGTACAGCATACTGTGCAAATAACCTTATTAAAAAGAATCAAGTAAGTTTGTCTCTTATTTTCTCATAACTAAACCTTTCAAAAAATAGATATTTTAAAAAAAAAATGTCAGTAAAGACTGTCGAGATATTTCTAATAAATTTCAAGCCTTTTCAGTAAATGTGCTTTCATGAGTCTCCACAACTTCCTATCATTTGTTTTTCGAAGTAAGTTTTGGCGGTTTACCATCTTTATCGTCCGTTCACCCTAACTCTTTATTTAAGTTATTCGTTGTTAAATTTTCAAAAAATAGTGTGCACCAGATATTTGAAAAACGTACAGATAATCACATATAGTACAAGTCTCGGACTGCAAATTTCAAGACCAAGCAGGTAACGACTTTTAACTGTGTAGTTTAGTAACAGATGTCGGGAAAACGTGACACAGAAGTCAGTTGAAAATAAGGAAATATGTCTTCGAGAAACTAAGTAAAGTATTAGGAAATATGAAAATGTCATTAGAAATAAAGAAAAAGAGTGCTGAACTGCTGTGTTATATCTAATCGTTCAATATGGAAGGGAATGTACGGTAGTGGCAGATAAGACGAGACGTGAAGCGACAGATATGTGATTCTACGTTCGAATGCTGGTAATACCGGGGGTCAGAGCTTGGGAGCAACAAGGAAGAAAAATAGGAATTGAAATAAAGAAAAGAGAAAGAGAAAGTTGACATTTCTGGGATACATAAAGAGAAAAGACGGCTTGGAGAATTCTGCACTCGAGGGATATACTGACGGCAAGAGGAGTTGGGAAACAAAGAGTAACTAACTCTACGAGTCTGGATTACAGAACAGAGGGAAGAAAGCTACTTAGAGTAACAAAAGATAGTAAGTAGTGGGGAGTGATGATCATCCATGTTCCAAAGGGACATGGCATATGAATGAAGAATTCTTCCTTTTTTTATCTTTCCTTCTCTCTCGTTATTCAAACGTATGGCTCCGTTTATTCCGTATCAGTTCCTAGCCTAAAACGTTTTCATTATGCATCATTTGCAGATAAAGAGAGAAAAGAAAACGAAATTGGAAAGAGAAGTGAAAAATGAAAAGAGGGAGACGCTGAA